GCCCTCTCTTGAAAGCGGCGTTCACGGCCGGGGGCGCAAACAACGACAAGCCGCCGGCGGGCGCAGTTTTTTTTTTTTTTTTTTTTTCCCCTCCCTCTCTCTCTTTCAATGCTCAAGCTCATGTGGAGCTCCTCACCGTTCTCTTTCCTCTGTCTTCATTTCCCTTTTCTTCACACAAGAGCCCAGGGTTTTATTTCCATCCTTCCCCGGTAAATGGGACAACCCCCACGGAGACACATGGAGATGTGATCAGTAGATAAGACGAGAAGCGAGTCTGTCACACGACGTGTTACGAGATTCGCGATCGAAATACGGCGACATGTGGTGTCCCGTAACTCAGGGCCCATTTTACGCCGCATATTCAGTCATTGTGTAGATACAGGGCGTACGAAAATGATCGGCAATGCATCTTCATCCAGTCTTCCGTCCCATGTCTAACAGCTCCCAGCATATCGGGAATAGAACAAGGTCTGGACATCCCAAGATTCAAGGTCAGGTGGCCAGATGTAGGGAATATGGATGCTGTTAGCCGGAAGGCTGCAGATAGACAGACAACATAAGACGACAGTCAAGACGGAAACGAGAGAAGAGATAAGAAACAAGGCTTCTTTTTTTTTTCTCGCTACCGGAAATTAGTTGTCCATCAATACAATACGATCTCTCACTCCTTGCCCCGGTCCGGAGCCCTAAATCAGGTAGTGTCAACATGTGTCATATGCCGCTCACTCTGCTTTCTTTCCCGCCGAGTCCTGTGCGTGTACTTGGATGCATCTTTGCAATTCAATCCGTCATATCCAGTAGAAAATGGCTGAATGAAGACGACTTCTGGCTTGTATGTTGGGTAAGCGGCGAAAGTAGCCATAGGAAAAGAATTTTTGCCAAGGCAAGGAGTACTTTGTTCTTCCATTTTGGGCTTGCTGCATGTCTGCCTGTCTGCAAGTATCCTCCTCTAGCGCTTCACTCGCTTCATCAAATTGCAACGTACGGAGAGTACTTGCAAAAAGTGCTCGCTCGCTCCCTCACCGCTTCCACGCCAAACGCGGGAACAGCTATGCACCAGACCGGGGATGCCAGTTCTCCTCAAACAGTTGGCTAACAAAAAAGTAATCATCTTCCCAAGCTCCTTGTTCACGCAGTTTGTCCCATTCTCGTTCTATGTATCACAACGCGCATTAGCGCCGCCCCAGCAGTCTGGTTCACCGGCATTATACACGGCCTTGGGGGTAGAAGTGGGACTCACTGTGCTCCCTGGCAAACTTCCTCGTCGCATGCACAAACCGAATCTTGTCGTCATTTAGATCTGCAAGTGTCCGCAGATCCTGGTCCTTGCAATCCTCCGAGAATGGATACCAACCCTTGTTACAGTAGTGGAAATGAGCCAGAAGAATGTTTGCGCCTACGACAGCTCAACAAAATGGCCTTTCGTCAGCAACTGTCACGAAAAAAGTTCCAAGGCGGACATGGGTGGAAAGAGACGGCATCTCATGTCTTACCAAGATGGTACTCCTTAACTTTGTCCTCGCGTGCAAATCGACGCTGTGTGTCAATCGTTAGCAAAGTCTCGGCTATGTTCGACAGTCTGATCAGGCACTTGCGAAAGGCGCCCGGGGTCCAAAAAGACGACCTCCCGTCGTGGGCTGAGGGAGACTCCTTCTCTCTAGAATCTCCCTCTTTCCCTTTTTACTTACTTTAATTCCATGCTTCCGAGCATATGCGGCGTCATGCGCCGTAATTAGTGCTGCATTGTGCAGCAACATGAGGGTCACCAGATACGTGACAAACCATGTACTTTGCTTGTTCTTCAGAATCATTTTTTGTAACTTGTCCAGCAACTCGCGCCTGAGCTTTGTTTGGATATGATGAATCAAGACAAGGTCCAACTGTGCACCAAGGACTGGCGGAACGGGAATCTTGCCACTATGAGAACTCGTGCTGTCTAGAATGTTGTCTGGCATGCCTAGCTTTTCTTCGCCGACAATAAACTCTGAGGTTGTTGAAAGTCGAACAGCGACCCATAGTCTGAAGGTCCAATCGAAAAGTTGTCTCCAGTCCTCTGGAATTGATGGATCCTGGTACATTCGGAACGCCTGGATATACGTCTTCTTTAACAAACCACAGGAGCGCTCAGCCACATATTGCAGAGTATCGCCCATAGCATCTCGAATATGCGACATATATGCTGACTTTCCGTCATCTAGATCCATCAAAGCATAAGGCGGGATTTTCACCGACCTCTTTCTTCCTTCAAAATCCCACGTTCGTTCCAATTTGTCGCCCTCTTGTGGCACAAATTTCCGGACTTTCAATTCGATACACTTTGTAGAAAAGCTCGTTGAGATGCGGATAAACTTGACATCAGGTGATGCCCATTTTTGAATCGGATCAGATATGTTATTGTTCCACCGCCGTGTCCATTCATATCCTGGAACTTGCCCGGGTTTGAAAAGTCGAATGTCGGTAATTTTGTATCTCAGACATGGAAACCTGCCTGCTTTGGTGTTGGAAACTTTCTTGCAGGTTAGACATGCTCCTCCTGGTTCATCTGGGTTATGTTCGCACTAAAGATTCGAGCACCATTGTTGGTAAGTTATTCATATCTGGATTTCGTCCCGCACTACCACGCAATACCCGTTTGCAAGATGGGAGATAGGCGATGACAGAGATACTTACTCTTATTCGCTGCATTCTGCACCGGATACAAGATCCGATTTTTCTTGTTTGAGCTGTCTGCTCCCGAAGGTTAGGATCACGGAATGGGCCTCGCTTTCCGCCACGTTGGTTCGGCATCAGAATATCAAAGTTCGACTGTTGAACATGCATATTCGTGTTCGCCCAAGACCCTTGATGTAGAGGATCGATGAGACTTCCAGGCGACACTATCAAGAAGGGGGGGATGTCTGCCTGTTGTATCGATTGTGCAACAGATGGATTTATTGGGTTTAATCCATAGCTGGCATGGACTTGTTCGCTCCGTACCAAGGTGCCTTGTCCGAACACAGGCGAACTGAGAAGATCCTGTTCTTGCTTCACAAGTTGATTTGCGAGAATACTAGAAAATATAGTATTGTGGGTGTAGATGAAACCATCCTGAATAAGCTCTGGCGTGGTTTGCAGCTGAATTTCTTGAGCAAATGTTGCATGCATTGAAGTGGCGTGCACTGAATCCTCGCTAAAGATTCCATGACTGAAGTCTTTCGCGTCGATCAAAGGAAACGCAGTGGTTTCCGGTAGCACTTGAGCTCCATTCATCGAATGCGTTTCCGTAGAGTATGGTTTTCTTGATTCATACATTTCAGGCTGCGCATGAGGCAAAGAGAAGTAGTCTTTTTATCATAACAGTAAGAGTCAGGATCTAATGAGTTTGCACATTCAAACGGCTACGTGGGTAAATAGGACACAGAAAAAGGGGGGAATATCTCATACCATCAGGCTGATCATCGCCGCCACAGCCACCACACATCAATTCGGCCATTCGCCTGGGAAATTGAGCCAAGCTCTGGGAAGTGGGTATCACTGGTTGGGCCCATCTCGGCAAGATGGATTGGGGTTCATTACCGCTCGCTTCATAAAGGTTCACGGGTAAGGCTTTCTGAGAGACACCCTGATACTCTGTGGAGGAGCATCTTAGCGGCATGGTGCTGGTGTTGGCGTCAAGTTTTCGACGCTTTGCTGGTGCCTGTTCCAACTGGGGTGTATAACGACTTTCAAAGCTAGAACTTTGGCCATGTGACAGGCTGTCCTGGTCAAATGGAGGTTTGTAGTCAAAAGGAAGCTGTTGAAAAGGGTCGACTGAGAAAAAAAGCGTCGGTTGATGTGCAAGCGGCGACGTCCCAATGCCAGCATGTCGCTGTGGACGCTTGTGAATTATAGACCGTGTGAGCTCCTATATCTTGAGTCAACCAAGTGCTTCTGGTATAAGACAAAAGAAATACAACATGGTCGATTATGAGATATACGATTGGATCACAAGGGATAACGCTATGATACTTTCCACCTCACCGAGTGGAGTACAAGAGCAGGAGGGCAGACAAGGAATTGGAACACCCAAATGATAATTAGGTAACGCAGTGTACAATATGAGAAACGGAGAAGGAGAGAAAATAATAGTGATATATCTCATGCGGGTTGCCGTGAACTTGGACACAGACCAGAAAGGGCTCCTTACCATGGTAGTCGTCCAGCGTGACGGGGTGTGTTGGACAAGACTAGCATCAGTTGTGCAAGAATGGGCCAAGACTCAGGTACTAGCACGTGGAAAGTCAAGTATCGTCTTTGCCTCAGAGACACAAAGAGCAGATGAGGCGCGGCAAGGCCGCAAAGCATTGTAGGCTGATCAAATGTTGTGTTGCAACTCGCCCAGGGAGGGGGTTCGATTTGCTAAGGGTCCACAAGGACCATCGTCATGAAAAGCCTGAGTACTAGTATACTAGTATCCAACTATGCATCCGCGAGAGGGGTGTAGCGCGGGCAGAACCCAGCCGGCGTCCACGGTGTCCAGGCAAAGGGCAAGAGGCTTCACAATCGGCGGCGCTTTGAATGGGCGACAAGAAGAAGGCGGCCAGGGGTCCCAAGGCGGAGATGGGATGGATGTGAGAATGGAGTCAAGCTAGCGTTGGATCCAAGTTTGGAAGAGGAGGTCGAAGCTCGGCAGTGGCGTGTCGCGTAAGATGCTTTGTGGGCTGTGGTCCAACGGTCCAAAGGTCTAAAGGTCCAAGAGGGCGCAAAGGCGCAGAGATACAGAGGCTTGAAAGGGCTGATGCTGGCCGGTGCGGCAAGAAACGCGGAAGCTGATGCTGCTGATTACTGATTGCTGATTGTTGATGCTGCTTTCTTGGCTAGTTGTCGTCGAGGTATGCCCGTTCTGTTCATCGGGCAAGGATGGCGGATAGCGCGGACCAATACGTGATGCGTGGTGCCGATGTGCATGGGCAATGAGGCAGTCGTTGTTCCAGTGGCTGCGGAAAATCTTGCCTGGCAGGTCAAGAAGGTGACGATGGTCAAGTCGTGGGAGAGCAGAGATGGCTCGGTGAGGAGGGCAAAGTCATGGCACCGTGCTGGATTGTATGTCAGCAGACTGAGGGGTACGGAGTACGGAGTACCACTCAACTCAGACCCGAGCCCAGGGTTGAATTTCCTTTTGGCACCGGACGCTCATTCTGATGGGAACAAAGACGCAACGTGGGCTACCCGATCGGACCGCTGACTGTGGCCAACAGCATGACGAGATGCTGCAAGGGGGTGGGCAAGGTACGTAGCTCGGTCGGCGAGATCAATCACATACAATATGCTGCGTATAGTACACCGTACAGAATGAAAAATGGCAAAATAAGTGCGCTTCCCCGTATCTCATCCCCAGGCCCCATGTTGTTGGACCGACATATGTGTGTGTGTGGTGTGCGTGTGTGTGTGTGTGTGTCTGCAACCCTTTTTTGTTTTCTTCTCACCGTCACACCACTTGTGCATCTCTGGCTGGCTTCTGTGACTATGTGTTGAACTATGTAGCTTTTGGATCATGGCAGAGAACCTGTCCAATGATGCTAACATTTCCTTGCTTTTGGCGTTTTTGTTCCGCTTCTTTGCCTGATGGTACGGAGTAGTTTTCATGCAACGCGAGACGAGTAGCATATGCAGACCAGGGGTGCAGAGACATTCTTGGCTAAATGTGTGTCTGCCGGAATTACTTGGCTGAGTTTTGTTGGCCTGGGTGCTCGGGTACCGAGAAACAACGTAATCTACCCGGACCGCCAACAGAGTTTTTTTCGTGATACCAAATCTCAGCCCTGGAGTCTGCAGGTAGTAGTAGTGGGCGGTTTTCCCATTGCCAATAGTAGTTACTCCGCGCAAGCTTTCTATTTTCGCGTGTTCCGAAAATATGTTAATGAAGTTCGCGTGACTACTCCGACATGATCGCCACATTTCGATCGGGGGATATCAAATTGCAGCTGTTGTTGGCATCTGAACACAACCACTGTGCTCGACAGACCCCGAACGCGACAATATTCTGCCAATTCTGCCAATTCTGATGATGCTGATGCTGCTGCTGTGTTGTCGTTGTTGTTGTTGTAGTAGTCATGGTTATTGCCCGTTCAATACTACCAAGCACGGAAATTTCAAGGTATGCTCTCATGCTCGAGAGTATTGATCTGGATAGGTATCAAGACACACTCCCTAATGCGAATACCACTGTATCGTGCCACACTACAAACCCTCACCAGGCTGGCCATGTGATGTGACGGGACCAAAGACAAAGGCCCTTCCCGCCATGTAGGGAGTGGGACCGGTGAGTAAGAAGGACCAATGCGAACATGGTGTCAACTTCAACGGCCGCTGGGCGAGTTGGCGAGACCTGAGAATCAGGATCATCATTACCCGACGCCTGCTAGCTGGTGACCAGGGTTTAAGAGTTGTCGGGGATGCCAGATGCGCAAGCCTGCGCCCCGCCAATGGCATCGGCATCAGCGCTGGTGCTTCGTACGGAGTACTGGGATTGGCACTAGCATCGTGCGATGCTACCACCCCCAGCGCCATCATTCTGCTTGTCCATTCACGTTGAGTGCTGAGGTTACGCCGAGCTCAGGCACTGTCGAAGCTTCAGCATAGGCAGGTCGGTTATTTAGGTTGTCAGCAGTGGATACATGCTTACTTTGGAGAAAACACAGCCTCACATATCACATGGATGGACGGAAGCAAAGGACATGGCCAAGCTGGGCTGGGATGCAAGCCTCGGCGTCGCAAGCAAGGGGTCGGGTGAAGTATTCTGTGGCAGCAGACGATCGCCCTTTGATCGGAATCAAACCAAGCCCGTGCGACCAGCTGCATGATACGGAATAAAGAGGTTGGAAGTAAAACATTGTGGCTGCTGGGACGTGACAGGAGTTTAGCCGTAGCGCAACGCGATGCGGTCGACCTTGAACGAAGTTGAACAGAGTTTAATACTCCGTATGGAATATCGATCTGGAGGGCCACGGTGGAGCTCGGCCATAGCGTGGCCAACAACAGCCGCAAGCGCGACCGGCAAGTGGGCAACTTCAGTCCCGCGGCCGGGACCGTGAACGGCAGGAGCAAGTGGCTGGCGGGAAAGACTGGAGAACGGCGTGATTCTCCGTCGGACTAGGTCACTGGCGCACTAGCTCCTTCCTTTTCCAACTTCATATCTCGCTCCCTCTCTCCATTCCAGCACGACGGCAGCAGCGCCCGCGTTTGCGTTGGTGAGATTAGCGACTTGGCGACTTGGCAACGACCTCAACTGTGTCCCAACCCTCGTTGCTCTCTCGCCACATCCTCTCCATGGTTCAAGTGCCTCCCCACATGTCCCACGTTGCCTTCTACGCCCACTCGATGCCATGTCTTTGTCTTTGAGACCGGATAATACCGAGCACGAAGTAACATGCAAAAATGTAAGAAAACTCGGGCCATATTGCATGGCCCTGCTAGGTTGCGCTGCGCATGCCGTCTTAGCTGAACTCTGGCACGCATGTTCAGATCGTTTATGTCTGACTGCCACATCTTGACGTAAACCCATGCCACGATTAGCGTCGTGACTTGTCACTCTCAACAATCTAATAAACTCTAGTTCGCCACCTCACGTCGCAGCGGTTCGATCGTGGCTCCCCACATTGTGGACAAACCACTACAGCTGTTGCACATGAATGTACACATGGTCAATGGCGTGTGCGTGTCAGCCGAAATCTGCGTTGCTTAATACCGCATCGTACATTACATTTGTACTCCGTACAGAGCACCTGCTTTAAAGTATGTGATTCGACGCTGGGGCCGATTGATGGCTTGCTCCAAGGCTGTAACTGATGATGCTTTGCTATTGCAAAGAAGCACAACAATGGTTGTCCTGCAGTCTAGAGATAACAGTAACACAACCGGTGAGCAACTATCGCATTACTGCCCATCAACTAGCCCATTGCTTGATTTGATGTGCCAGTATCACCACCACCTAATATCGATGAAATTGTGGATGCTTCATCTTCTCATGACAATCAGGTCAAGTCGGTCAGTGGTAGTGATTGTCCCACTACAGCATGTTTGGATCAACGAGGCTTGAGACGCATGGAATGGGTTCGTGGCGGAAGAAACGCGCCCAACATCAACGCCGACAGCTCCTTTTCCTGTAGGTATCACCGGTGGCAAGGGTACATGATGATTGTTCTGGAGGTACTCATCAAGATATCTCAGAATTGAGGTTTGCTCAAGTCGTGCGCCCCATGGGCCACATTTTGGGAACTATTGATTTTCATACGGCCAGGCCGGATTGGTGTTGAGGACTGGAACCTGTAACGAGATTTCCTTTTCCCCCCCAACTCTGGATGCGTGTTTGACTGCTTTTTGTTTTCCAGGCCGTGTCTTGGTTTCCCTTTCAGCAATAGTAACTTGGTTGTCTGTCCTTTCTTCTGTTGCTGGTGGTTGCACATGATTGCCAATTTCCATTTCTGCGTCAGTTGCATCTTTGCTGTTTCTTGGCGACATGAACCTGGCTCCCTTGGGTGACATAGCACGTGGGAGCTGTCTTGCGAGTTGCTTGACGAGTACTCGGTGCGTTCTCTTGAATTCCATTTACTTAGGTTAACGAGGTAATGCGTGAATCGCCACTGTTTCCAAGTATTACGGTGCCAATATTCTTCCAACACCCAGGCTCTTTCTCTCCCCTCTGCAGTGATACATTCTCAGAACAACCATTTCTTCCCAGAGCTTCTCAGAGCTTCCCAGAGCTCATGCAATACATTGCCTCTATTTATCTACTTGATACACTACATATTCTGTCGCCTCTCACCAGTTATGATTGCTCCAACGAAATCCAAGACTGCATCTCAAGTCACGGCCTATCCTATATTCTGATTGACGACTGCGCCGGCCTTGTGCTGTAGTGTCACCAAATACTAAATACAATATAGTGAAGGAAGGGTGCTGCACACACCTCGTCTCTCATCGATCAACGCCACAGGTGGTCCAGCATCTCATCATTTGAGGACCTCAAGCCCAGGGTGGTGCTGGGGAAACGAGGCCAGGGTTTTCTGTGTTTGTATACGTTCGGTGAAGGAGAGCAGGCACATTGCCTGTCCTTCATGCACAAGTTGCAATCTATTGAAGGAAAGATGCTTTGCTCAAAGGAATCTATTGGATCCGATTCCCGACGACGGCATCGACGCGGGCACTACGGGATAAGTCAACTCTGCCACGGAGTAATACCATCGTATCGGTTGCCTACGACGGCGTAGGGCCATGCGTTTGCCTTATTGATGGCAGGCTCAATGCAACCAGCCTCACAAAGACGCTTGGACAATTTTGAACAAGGCAGAAGTATGTGTGCGTGGTCCCAATTGAACGCGTCGACATCGGCCGGGCGTCGAAACAATGGTTTCTTCCGAGGGGCTGATGCCAACGCGATGACAACGGCTGGAAAAACGGCCGAGAAGAGAGCAAACAAGTTGGCGTCGAAACTCATGACTCGAGACTATCCTTGCCTGGGCTTAGCCGGCCGTCCACTCCGTAATGTCGGGTCAATTTGGTGTGGGTAAGACTAACCAGATGGGTAAAGTATGAACTAGCACAGTTGACAGCGGACGCGGGAGAGGCGGGAGAGAACTGCGGCCATTTACCGAGTACTTCGTTCAGTCGATGCCGCTATGCGGGACTCGGCAAACTGCACACCACATACATCCATCTCCAACTCCTGTCTGTCAGATTTTGAGATTCTTCAACTTGCCGTCATATCATGCTCGATCCCAGCCAGCATATGGTCTAATCATGTGATCCATCACGTCTGTCGAATCAAGGCCGTGGCAGGGCTGCTCCTGCCCCCTCTCCCACGGGACATGACCAAGTCGTGTATCCAGTCACGTTTTGTGCAACATGTCAGTTGGAGCCAGCATGGTCTTCACTTTGTAGCCCCAATAAAATCCGGGCAGAGTTTCGTGGAAACGGCTATCTGGGTCAACTGGTTCTTTCAGACTCTGAGCTTGGCATCGTCCGGTGTGTGGCCAGATGCTACACTGATGATTTTTATACAATTCTGTCCAACTCTTGTAACCATTAAGAGCAATCGGCGGATTCTGCAGACCGAATCTTCATACGACAAGGAGTCTGGGTAGGTGGCTAGGCCAAACACGCCGATGTCGTTGTGCACGAGAAAATTGTCAGAATCTCCAGCGGCTAACTCGGCGACTTGGCCTCTAGGACGTCCACGAGCTAGTTCGAGATGGATCTGAGCCAGCAGTCCATACATGATGTGATACACCCCACAGCAGCATTCTCGACATATAGTCAGGATACTCCTGTCGGAGCAACGCCATTGTCAAATGGAAGTGTTCCGTGGGCTGATTCATTCTTGAATCCTAAAAACCGCATTGACAGTCTTTGCCCGCCAAAGAACCCTCTGTGGCGTATCGACGGATGTACGGCCTTTGGAACACAGCTATATGCCGTGCCACTGTTTGTGGATAAGATCCCTCCGCTTCGGGTAGATGTCTTTATTCCCGAGCCCGCAACACTTCCAGCAGACGTCCGCGATCCTCTCGACCTTGACGTGACCTTTTATACCAGGGACCGCACCCGAATTTCCTCGCTAGGCATCACCAGTCATGTCATACGCTGTCTACAGCATTGGAGCTCAGCCCAGGAGAACATGATGAGCATCTACGAAAATCTGCCCTTCGGCTCACGTATTGTGTTTGAGAATTTGCCCAAGAACGTTTCAAAAGCTCGCATTTGCGTTGTTCCTACGCATTACCTCGAAAGACAACTCCTCTCCGTCCCAACGCTGACCAAGTATTGGGGGGAGGAGATCAACCTACCACGCACCGTCGACATCAACGATGTTGTGTATCTGTCTCAGTTACACGACAGTGTCTGTCTTGTGGAAATAGAAGGCAAAACATGGATATTCAAAGCTTTGACAAGTTACACCAAATATCTCTACCACGAGCTCAGACAGCTTCTCAGAATGCCACCACACCCCAACGTCGTTTCCCGGCCAGTTCATCTTGTCACAAAGAAGTGCAGTTTCGGTAACAAGACGGCAGTCATAGGGTTCACCCTGGAATATCACGTCTACGGAAGCCTGCGTGACCTGATCCCATTCATGCAGCTCCACGGTCAGGTGTCGCTTGCCGAGAAAACGAAATGGTCCCTGCAACTTTCCTCCGCCTTGCTACATCTCCACAACGTCGCACATTTCTTCTATCCAGATCTCAGGTTGGACAACATTGTTCTGTCCGAGTCTCGTGATGCCATCATGGTGGACTTTGAGCAGCGTGGCGTTTGGTGCGAGTTCGCGGCGCCGGAAGTCAATGCTATCGAGTATGTCCGGTTGCTGGCCATTGATGATGAAATTGATCCAGACATTCGTGACAAATACGCCGGTATTCTGTCAGAAATGCTCCCTGGATGGGAGCAGATGGGTCAAGGAGAGGACTACATCTGGCCCTCCCAAGGCTACAATGTGCCTTGGGCATGCTTAACACGCACTGAAGAGGAAGCCTGTGAGGTTTACATGCTTGGAAGGGTCCTCTGGTGCATCTTCGAGGCTAGCAGTGCTCCCCAGCGAGCTGCTGTGTGGCTATCGTACCCGTGGGAGCCACTAGTAGAGTTCCCGGGTTACACTACAACGCCGGAACCCATCAGGCAGCTCATTGATGCCTGCACGCGAGGAAGACAGATAGGTCTAAGCAAATATATAGTCAGAAAGCAGAAAAAGTTGGTGATACGGGAGCTGGAGAACACGGAGGAATCTACTCCTGAGCAGGTTCAACAGGTGGCAAGTGACTGGTGGACTAGGGAGATTGCCTTTTCAGAGAAATGGTTGAGTGAGCGTGCAGAAGGTATGAAGAGGGGCGATTGGAATGAAAACTACTACAACCGCCCCAAGCTGCAAGAAGTTCACGACGCTCTCAATGCTTACAAGCAGCAGAGTGGATATGCATTCTAGAACAGCATTGAGTTTAGCTCATCACCTGTTCCTGCAGGTGATTTGAAGCACGACGACTAGATAGAATGTTCAATGGAATTTGCCCCCTCCTTCCTTCCTTGCTCCCTCTTTTTTTTAACTTTTTTTTTTTTTTTTTTCATTTTCTTTGCCCTCCTAACATAATCTCTGGAGTCTCAGGAAGCCACAAACAGCGCAAATGTCGAATTTCTAAACCAAGCAAAGGGGGGTACACATAAAGAAAGCTGCGATGGGAGATGTACGACGACACTCGACATTATAATAAACCAAAGCCACAACGCTATTAGGATACTAAAGTGTGGCAGTATTTTGATATATGTGGATGGTATGATGCCGGTGAGATCCAAACAATAACGAAAGCCTTTTAAGGAGGCGACGTAGCTCCCTCGACAGGACTCCCATCATTTCATCCGCTTAGAGTCACGTCCATGTCCCTGGCCAGGTACATGGCGCTTCAAGCCAGCCCCAGCAGAGGACGTTCGCAACCGTCAAACTAGAACGCGAAACCTGACGACATAAGCCGTCGGGGCTCCCTGAAGTTCAACCTGATCCAGAATTGCCTCCAGGCTATCAACGAGATGGCTAGCAGCCTCGGGCAATAAGTCTAACTCTGCAATTACAAATCCGTCCTCGCCCCGATCACCAACTAATCGTAGGTATAGATTGCGATCAACCCGACTTTGTCCGGAGCAGGCGTCACGGTTGCGGGCCACGACCGAGGCGAGAATCTGCACCAGCGTGCGGGCGGCGCTTAGAGCCTCGTAGGATTGCAAGGGACAATCGCGATTGTATATGGAGGAGCGTATTAGGCCGACGATTCCAAGGAGATGCCTTGCGGCCCATGTTACATCCCGAGCGGTCGTTTGGTCGGCGGTGCCACGCGTTTCCGCACAGTTGCTCGTGGGTGATGGTGAGCAGGAGGAGAGTGAGAAAGAATCCAGTTCGCGTAGAACATGATCGACCCGCTTCGAAAGTTTGCGGAAGACATCACATACGGGATCGCTGGGGCGTGAAAGTGACAGGAAGTACTGAAAAAAGTTGGAGTTGTCGAGAAGCATGCGGAGGACAGTGTAGTCTAGATCATTCCGTCGTATAATACGGTCATCATCCATTGCAGGATGAGTGAAAATGTCCGGACGAAAGAGTTCGGGGGGTGTTGAGTACACCGAGGCAAGAAGCTCTCTGGCCTCCGTGATGCGATGATTGTTGAGGTCGTCATGCTCATCTGCGTAGGAATACGGCTTCACTACAGGGCAATGCAGCCCATCAGCCAGTATATCTAAATGGAAGTCGCAAATAGCCTGAAACGGATCACCCATTTCTTTCGCATATCCGTATTTGTTCAAATTCAAAGGTTTAGAACCGTCGTGGTTGTACAGAGTCTGTTTGAGGACTTGGTCAAGAAGCCAAAGCAGGTGGCCACATGGGGCATCCGGGGCCTCATCACCTTGGCGGCATGAGCATGAGAGACGGGGAGATGTCTCGGTGATCTCTGGAGCTCGAATTCGAATAGATCGCGTAACCAACTCTGTCATTTGAAAGGCATACGTGTTTCCGATGCGTCGGCATCGTTGTAGTGCAATCTCGGGAGGCTCGTTGAAGACATCCCGTACTGCAGCTTTTCTTATGTCTGAAAGTTGGTCAAGATTGTACAAGAGCCGTGAAGGAGACTGGGCAATGGCAAGGTGTTCATTCCCCTCAACGTTTGTATAGTCGTCGTCACCGCTATCGGTGTCCGATGCATTCGAATCTTGGCCGTCCGGGTAACTTGACGAAGCGGCTCTTGAAGCAACTCCCGCTATTGAACCGGTCATTGGTGGCATCTCTTGGAGTGATAGCCTGCCAAGCCGATTTAGAGGAGAAGACATGGGTGTTCTCTATGTTGATGGTCTTGTTGTCTGGGGAATTCAGCACCATGTCAGAAAATTACGAGGCGTGTACTTCGTAGGTGGTGAGCAATGGAGGAAAAAATGATGCAAGTAATGTTTGTCTTTTCTCTCTCCTTCTTCTTCTTCCTCTTCTACTCCTCTTCTTGCTTAGGCACGTGTAAACCATGGTGGACGGTCGCGGCGATTATATACGATGAACGGTAGTAGATGTCCGCTCACGGATTTGCAAGAGAAAAGGGTAAATGTGGTTAGCGAGACGCCAACCTTGGTGCCGAGAACCCCCGAGGTGTTGGCTCGCAGGGCGTTTTTTTCTCTCTCGCTGCAGCAGGACAGAGTAAAATGGGGTCTGGAGGTCTGGGGTGTAACAATCACGAACAGCAGTGCTGTTGAAAAAAAAACCGTGCGGCAGGCGGCCAAAGCTGTTGGCCGAAAGCGACGGGAAGGCACGACCAACATGTCTGGTGCATCCCCTCAAAGCAGTTAAGGCTCCGACGAGGTCACGGGACCCACAATACCTGGTGACCTCGAGTGACTTGGGTGACGGACCAAATCCGGCCACACTAAAACCCCTACAACGCGTTTTATAAAGCTACTAATGAGTCTTAACATTCTAGCAGCCTCACAAGAAGCTATATTAAAGGTCTTTAACGGCGAATTTTTAATAGATGACAGCACACGTGAGCAGGCAGCTGATAACACCTGCCAGCCTAATAACCCACCTAATGAGGCTCGTAGGCAGAGATTTTAACCTTTTCAACCTTCATATCGCGATGCCCTCAATCGCGTTGGGGCTGTCACCCGGCTGTGATGTAGCTCTTTGTAACTTGAAGGAATGTTAGTACTTTTACTATAGTGTAAATTACTAAGAAATTCATGTACCCTTAAAATGTGGGCCTTTAATTGGCTATAATCCTTGTCCCGTGACCTCGTTGGAGCCTTAACTGCTCTGAGGGGATGTATGTATGTACATATAACTCCGTACAGACATATCGCGGGTTGTGGCTTTGGCTCTTTCTTGGGTCGAGTTCCTTGGGTTGCTCTGAGTTGGTCTGGGTCGCTGATCTTCCGCCCTGAAGGAGGATACCGTGAAGGTAACATCCCATGAGATCCAGAGAATTGGGGGAGGGATCCAGCGACATGGTACACAGCCTCGCCGCCGGCAAATACGATGGATGTTTCCAGTGCGATGGATTGACCCCGGAAGACAGCAGGGGCAGCAGGGACAACAGGGACAACAGGGGGAATATTGCTAAACGGAAAGTGGTTTGGCGCTCGTCATGGCCATCGTGGAAAGTCGCATCAGAGTTGGACGTCAACCACCATCGCCATCACCACCATCAGCAACACCGAACTAGCAGTATCTATCTATCTCTTGTAGGCCTGCCACTAGCATCGACGCCGTCACCATGGCCATTGTTGATAGACCGAGTATTCAAACTTTGCCCTCTGTTTCTCCTCGGACTCTGCTGAAGCCACCAACAGGTCCACCAGGCTATCGTGTTGGTCGTCGCCGGCACTAGCCAGAAACTCGCTGGCATCATGGATTGACTCCCTCACCCCCCTTTTGCCTTCAACGTCGCTGTCGTTGATGGATGCGACTCTGATGCTAATAGACTCGGACACTAGGACACCGGGGTCGAACATTCAACGTTGGCCATCCGTTCATGGCACAACATGATCGGAGCTCCCGGGAACTGAGCCAGCGCCGGCCTTAACGCCGAGAAAAACAAAAACTTGTCATGTTTTCTGCCTGTGACAACGGCCAACCCGTCCAACCGTCCAACAAACCGGGGCATTTTTCTTTAAACAGGCGCATAATGTCCCACAGAGGCGCTATTCACGTTGCATCAACCACTCTGCATCGCCATTACTAATGTCCGGCGCCGATTTGATTTCTATTCAGGTTGACGATTTCTTGTGGCTGTCAGTTTTCCTGCTTCGTATGGATTGGGCCAGACTAACATGCATCATCCTCGGTCGGCCATCTCGGTGGTGTTGGCCGGCGGCTACCGGCAAGAGAACGCCTCAGGTTGGGCAACATCGCCATTAGCTGCAAATGAATACGGGACGTCTAGCACATGTATTGAGAATGGTGCGGCTGAAGGAGACTAGTCTATACAATTTTTGTTTTTATTTTTATTTTTACTTGTTTGCTGATTCATGCTATTTCGCCAGCAGTGTTGACTTGCGTGTTCGTTCGTTTCAAGCCCCGAATGATGGCTGTAAGATCCCCAACATGCTGCGAACGCAAAATCGCTCGCTTAAGATGATGGAGCACACGCGACTCAGATAGCAGCCTTAAGCGCGCTGATGTGCAACCAGACGATTAAGCGGCATGCCTGAGGCAGATTGATTGCAGGCGGGTGACCGAGCCCGATGTCCTTGGATTCGCGGCAGGTACTTCAATGTCGGCAGCTTCTGGGTAATGTCAAGGGATGCTCTCTCACCCCGTCGCAGCACCAGCATCCCACGTCATGATTGTATCGCCGTATCGGTCCTCCCACACAAACGAGCCAACAACCAACTACGGGTGAAATTCCACGTGGCCTGTCCCCCCGTCCCGCCACGCCACGCCCGACGCCGAAGTGGCCCAGCGGCCCCAAAATCCGGCCCGGCAGACAGGCACCGCCTCACCCGACACCAGGCCAGGCACCCTCGCGCCTCTGCCAGTCAGAAAGGGCATCACGGCAATCCAAACTCCTCGGCGGCTTTCACCAGCATCATGTCATCATGTCATCATGTCATCATGTCTTGCGGACCCCCAATTTCCGGCATACCCGGCCTTTGGGCTCGGTTCCAGATTACCAAGACGGCGGCATGTGGCTGCCACTGCCCACTGGGGCGGAAAACAAGGAGGAACAAAAAGGGTGTAAAAGAGCCAGTTGTCTATATTATGTTTATGTAAGACTGTCTGGAGCCTCCTTAGGGCTCCGTGTGTACCGTCGGATGGGGCGGTTTATTTTTAAAAATAGGCGCGAGAAAGCGCGAATCGTAGAGCGAGCGACTGTCATGGGCGGCTGAAGGTCGCTCACACTCGCTCATCATCAGGTCATTTGCCGTGGGCTGTGAAATAGACGCTTGCCGACGTTGTGGAACTCGCAAGAGTGCAGGTCATGCGATATAGTTTTATATCCTCAGAGCTGATACAACACGAGCAGTGCCAGACTTGGATTCCCCGAACGAAGAGCTTCTCTCTTCACCCTCGCCTTGCACCCTCGTCGTTTGCGCTCCGTTCTAACACTAGCATGCCCCTGCATGCACAACGCATTCCTCATTTCGCGAAGGCACAGGGTGCCTGAAGGGCATGCTTCTCATGCGCTATGATGCGACGTTGGATACGCAGGGGCCAGCAAATGACATGGCCATCTTGCTCCGAAGGCACGGCACCTGCCACGAGGACAGATCGATCTTGCATAAGCCCTACAGCAGGATGGTGACGTAGTCTTTGTGGAACTTTGGCCTTCCTGCCCATGTAAACAAAATTTCTGACATTCACCGTTGGTTCTCACAAAAGACAAAAGGAAATCATGTCTGGTCAGCGCCTAGTCAGGACACTAGGTAGTCAGCTGCTGAGTAACGCAAATTCCTAGGTAATCATCTTTATTGAGAGCGAGAGAACAAGGTCGAGACGGATTGCACGTCACCAGGGTTGAAATCAACGTAGTCTGCCAGTAAAGCCAGTAAAAACCAGTCGTTTCGCCGTCTTTGCCAGGGTTTCTAAAATGCCCTCTGCAACAGAATACACTTCGTAGTGACCTTGCCATATCGTCACTTCCGCTTGAACGAAACCTTAATTTCCCTGTTCACCGTTCCGAATTTCCCTTTCAAAGCAACAAAAAGTTAAAGTACATTGCAAGGAGTGGTGAATCAGTAAGAAAATAATCACACCGCCATCATCGAATAAAAAAACGCAATAAAATAAATAATGATCAGTCAGGCTGGAATGGGACTCGATTACGCCGTTGAACCCTCCTCCTCATAGTCGTCAGAAATGGGAGGAGACCGTCGTCGTCCAAGAGGCACGCAGGCAACTATCACGCGCAAGATCGTAGAGCAGTTGGTGCTCCATCGACAAAGCGGACTGCTCGCGAGCCGACATGCCCCTTGTTCATGGTGCCGTCAAGTGGCGTGCCCTTTCGAAGGATCGTCTTGTGATCCGGCGAAGCAGACTTTGGAGGTGACAAAGACCGGCCTGAAGACATTGAGGGTCTCTTGTCTTGCAGGCTGTCTACAGGCCGGTCGGATTGTCAATCTATACCATGCTGTTTCTTCAGCTGAGCTAAAGATTCCCGACGCGCCTCCAGGTCCTCTTTTGACTTCATCATCTTCTCTGGCTGATGATACAGAACTGTCGGGAGTTGGTTAGTACACGCGCCGATACATGATGGACAATTGAAGGGGTAGGGAGAGGCGACAAAGTGCACTGGGGGTCCGTCGTTTTGGTTATCAGTTTGTCACGTACCGACAAGATAACGATTCTGGAAGTTGAAGCCGTTGAGCTTGTCGCAGGCTTGCTTCGCATCCATTACGTCCTCATAGACCACGAAGGCCGTTCCCTTGGTACTAGTGGATATGCCCTGGCGAACTTGGCTACGAAAGGAAAAAAAAAAAGTTAGTAGCTGATTTCCAGAGCTGGTTTTAATAGGATATCGATGGAATATCGAGGTCGGGGGGGCATACCGGATTGGACCGAATTTTCCAAAGAGGTCGAAAAGCTCCTCTGGAGTTACGCTGTAGCTATATCGATTGCTGTCAGTTCGGGCGTTCGGAGATATGAATTTGAACGTCGAGTCTAGTTACCTCAGATTCTTGACGAACAGAGCTCTGTGATGGTAGTTAGCCAAGCCCAACGCGATTGTCTCGTGGCCAGCGAAGGCAACTCGGCAGTCCCAACAGATTGGGGTCTGTGATGCCGGAAAAAAACCGTGGAGCTACTCTCCACGCGCCAAAACAAGATATAAAAAAATAAAAACAAACACTCACCTGTTGACTTCGGGTGCGAGTTTCCCGCCGCGACTACTCATCCTTTGGATGATTTTGTTGTAATGAATCGAGGACTCGATAAGGGTCGGGGGCGGCTCCGTTCAGGCTCGAGGATGTTGGAAGGATGGATTGCGAGACCGATCCGAGCGGAGGCGCAAGGCGGGCTAGGGTGACTGGCCTCTGCGATGGAACGAGGCCGGTCACGTGAGGGGTGGTTTGTGCTGTGGCCTTCGGTGAGGAAGTGAGTGGAAGTGTGGAGTGGAGATCAACGGTCTATCGCAACATTTGAACGCTAATAGACGCTATCGCACGCAATCTTACAAAGTACCATTGAGGCTGACAATACGCAGTGCCCCATTTTCGTGGTACTACGGAGGAGCCGCCGATTGAATTGCAGCGTGATGCAAAGCTATAGAAAATTGAAGCTTTAGTTTCCGTGATACCTGCCTCCTACGCAACTCCTACATCACGACTCTCTCACTACTCGGCCCTTGCCTACATCGGCGCACATGACCTGGGCTCCGATAGGAGTCTCGGAATGCATGGCAGCATTGGATTCGAGAGAGCGACGCGGGAACTGTTTTGGAGTCTGAGACACAGCATTCTGTGACATTCCGAAGCACTCATGTATCACAGGGTCCTGGCGAGCATCAAATACCATTTGTTGATGGCAGTTCCCTCAATCCGCGAGTGACATGGTGTGGTGCACCAACTTCTTCTTACCAATGGCTTCTGCGACATGCGTCTCCGATTTGACCACCATACCTGATTAATGTTTGTATTGGTTCTCTTTCCTTCTGGCCTTTCTCGTCCTCCCCAATGGCACCCAGCAATGCATCCGGGTGACTTCTGAAGTCATCTTAAGTGCTAGCAATGGTGTTCCAACATCCAACAAACAGACTTGGAAGAGTCACCTTGATCACAGCGAGATCCGCCATTGACAATACTAGTTACAGTGGGTTCGCAGTAATTCCGAAAAACGCCCACTTTTACACCAAAACTTACACTTTTTAAAAGCTTATAATTCTATTAAATAATATATTAAAAATGTAAATTCTTCTATAAACATATAATTAAATACTTATTAATTATAAATATTATTTTTATAATATTTATAAATATATAAATA